ATCTCCATTTTGTTTTGATATGTAAAAGTCTGCCAATTCTCCATAACTGTAAAAGTCTTTCACGTCTCTTTATCTTTATCACTTGAGATATCTCTAGCATCACTATCCTTATCTTCTCCATGCTTTGTGTTGAGATCATGTGCAGTATTTACATGACTAAGTGCAGCAGGTGCTGCATCATATGAACAGAGTCCAACTGTAGGGGCTGCATCACGTGAACAGAGTCCATGTCCAGTAGCAGGTGCATCACGTGAACAGTCACATAAACAGTGTCCATGGGCTCTAATAGACACTACACATGAAAAGTTATTAAACTCTGTATTTTTTTTGAAATTTTTTTTTTTATATGTACTGATGGATTTTACTACTAAGTTTATTTATTTAGTAATTATTATTGTGGTGACCATATAGTGACTCGTTAGACCTGTAAAATAAACCCCTTCTGTGATTTTTTAATAATTAGAAATTTCTATTCTTCTGTTGATGTGCAGAGCTGTTTCCTTCAATGGAGAAAAGTTCAACCCTTTTCCAAGATGAGTCTGTAACAAGTGGAGATTTAATCAAAATGCTTAATTAGCATTAATGGTGGCGGCATTAGAGGGACAATTCATGGAATTATTCTTGCTTTTCTTGATGCTTGAATATAGTCCAAACACGAACCTTGACATTGCTGAATCTGAACCTTTTATCAAATTTGGAATCCCGCAAATACATTTTTTTTCAATATTTCTTGATGGTAAATCACTGCTATGAGTTCTAGTAGGACCCCTTTGTAATTATTGCTTCTGCACTAATAAGCAGATTGTATCACTTGTCATACTTTTGACATCAATGCTATTTGAATTTAATTGTGTGACCTAATTTGTTGACAAATTAGCAATGTGTCCCAATATTGAATTACACCCATTTTCAATTTGACATTTATAATGAACTAAGTTCTTAAATTAAGTATAACTAGTATTTCCCCAGATTTTAGGCTGCTATTACCCTCAACAAGCGTAGGTTCTCGTTACTTGATGATTCATTGGCTCATTGTTAAATTTTGCTCGTTTAAACAGTAGTAAATGAAGCCATCTCTAAATTTGCTTTGTATCTGTCAAAGTCTTCCAATTTAATGGCAGCAATTGTCTCCACCTAATGCTGGGCCAAATAATTGTAGACTTCTTCATATTTATCTCCCGTTTGCCTCCCCGGCTGCGGAGTAAATATCTATTACCGTGCTATTAAAGAACCATGATACTATAGTTTTAATAATAAAATATCCCGTATATATATAGCAAAGCCTCCACATGCATGTAGTGAATAGTTTGCGTCGATTTTCCATCTTTGATGTATATCATATATATATTTATGTAAAACAAACTCTAACACTCTTTACATATATAATTATCACTTGCATGTGAAAGATAGACTGATTGTCCAATGTACATGTTAAAGATATAACAAAAAGTACTCAAAACAATAATAAAGGGTGAATCAATCACGATGAAAGACTTACCCTAAAGTTTCATGTAGTCATTTACCATGTTAACCTAATTAATTCAAAATCAATCTTCTAGGAATGAAAAGATTCTCACATATCATATATTACGTGTTGTTTTACTAATATGTGATAAACTCTAATAGATGTGGTATCACCATTATAGTGAACATGTACTTGCATCCGCGATATGCTACTGTTAGGAATAATTGTAGATTTGCAAGTGAATTAGAAACAAGGTTTTTCAAATTAATATGCAACTTTATTTCTATCATCATAAACTTTTTCACTTGAACTTAGTTATCTTTCCTATGATCTTCTTGGTTATACTACTAACCCTACATGATGACTAAGTCGCCATATTCTGGAACTCATTAAGTTAGAAAGTTCAAAGTCCCCAAGCTTGGTCACGTTTCTATGGCCTGACTTGTTCACAGTCAAGACAACGGGACACTCTATTGACTTTGTTGACGTTATAAAGACAAAGAACAGCCTATAAATAGCCTCACCTAATCAAAAGAGCAATCAAGCTTTTAGTACTTCATTTCATTTTTGCAAGGTTCTAACAACTTCAATCTCTCTCTCCTTTCCTCCCATTTCAATTCATTTCTCTTTTGCAAAGTTCTTACAACTTCAATATCTCTCTCCTTTCCTCCCATTTCAACAACAAAAAAAAAAACTCTCTCCTTTCCTCTCTATCGTTTTCTATTGTTTGTGCGTATACCTTTCCAAATCTGTCATGGAAAAAACTGTGTCATTTTTACAACCTCCAACTTATGGGAATGTTATCACCATTCTTAGCATTGATGGGGGTGGAATAAGAGGAATTATCCCAGGAGTAATACTTAGCTTCTTAGAGTCTGAGCTTCAGGTATAAATAATGTACAATAATTTGGACTTTTCCTGCTACTGTTACATCAATAATCTCTATCAGTATTTCCTTGTGAGAAAAAAGAACGCAAACAAAAAAAGAAGGGAATAATCACTTTCATAACATGCATGCATTTGGAGTAACGTGATTCTGTTTTTAGGCGTTATTGTTTTTGCATGATTTGGTTTTTGTTATTGTTTTTCCATTTCTTCTTGATAATTCAAAGTGAATCGGGTTTTTGTGCAGAAACTAGATGGTGAGGATGCAAGAATCGCAGACTATTTTGATGTGATTTCTGGTACAAGCACTGGCGGACTTGTGACTGCCATGCTAACTACTCCCAATGAAAAGAATCGCCCTATGTTTGCTGCCAAAGATATTAAGGAGTTCTACCTTGATCACAGTCCCAAAATTTTCCCTCAATCTCGGTAATGACCTTTTAATATTACCTCTTTCTTATTTTTTATTATACAACAGTAGATCTAGCATACTTCTAACAAGAAGGGGAAAGAAAACTGCTATGAGGCTGGTGAGACTCTACGTACACTGCCTTAGGGTCCATTGCTTCTTAACTCCGACAAATCTGCTTTAATTTGCTCTATAATGGAATATCATAAGCAATAGATTAATAACACATGTGATCTTCTTTTTTGTTAAGCAGGAATTTTCTATTTGGTCAAGTAAGAAAGGTAATCAAGGCCATAATAGGACCAAAATATAATGGCAAGTATCTGCATAATCTTGTTAAAGAAAAACTGGGAAACACGCGATTGCATCAAACATTGACTAATGTTGTAATTCCAACTTTCGATATCAAGCGGCTCCAGCCTACCATCTTCTCTAGCTACGAGGTTACTTCATATATTTATCTTTTATTTTCTTTTGTATCTAAATTCCTTATTGGGGAGGTCCGTTTGATATGACTTCCATTTCATATTCCTTACTATGTGTATTTCATGATCTAGGTGAAACAAAATCCAAGCCTTGATGCCTTACTCTCTGATATATGCATTGGAACTTCAGCTGCGCCAACTTATCTACCTGCACATCGTTTTGAAACCAAAGATTCAGCAGGAGGAGTGAGACAATTCCATCTAATAGATGGTGGCGTTGCTGCTAATAATCCGGTATTTACATATGTTTGCCATGATCAGATCTGTAATACGACTCTGGAAATTTTAGATAGGGTTGAATCCTTGTAATAAATTACTGAAGAATAATATAACGGATGCAGCCCCTTAGATATTTGAGCCGCGGACGGTGGCCTTATAATTAAGTTGAACCAGTTTTTATTTTATATTTATTATTATTACTTTCAATCTCTCTCTTATTCTAAATATCTATATCTGGTTTCAGGCTTTAATTGCCATCAATGAAGTGACTAAGGAGATAAACCGGGGAAGTCCCGACTTCTTTCCGATAAAGCCGACGGAGTATCGCCGGTTTCTGGTTGTATCCTTAGGAACAGGCTCACCAAAATCTGAAGAGAAGAATGATGCAAATGAAGCAGCAAAGTGGGGTGTTTTAGGGTGGTTAACACATGGTGGTTCGACTCCATTGGTGGATGTATTCACTCAATCAAGTAGTGACATGGTGGATCTTCTCATTTCCACAGTTTTTCAATCCCTTCAATCTGAAAATAACTATATCCGAATTCAGGTAGTTATTCATGCTTCCAAAACATCAAAACAAAATCCCTTTAATCCCCTCACATGTTTGATTATTTCTACCTTTTTTTTTTCTTTTAATTTTTGTTTATTAACACTCAATTAAAACATGCAGGATGACACATTAGGTGGGGAAGTTTCATCGGTTGATGTTGCAACCACAAAAAATTTGGAAGATCTAGTAAAAATTGGTGAGGGTCTATTGAAAAAACCAGTTTCAAGAGTAAATTTGGATACAGGCATGTATGAGGCCTCAGATCAGGTTACCATTACCAATGAGCAGGCTCTAATCAAGTATAACACTACTCTCATACCCTTTTTCTTCTTGTTATTATTTTTTTTAATTTTAGGATACTATTATATTTATGTTGACTAATATTATATTTGTTTTATTTGATTGAACGTTGTAGGTTGGCAGATGTACTCTCCAAGGAGAAGCGTATCCGGGAGGCTAGATCACCAATGGGACATTCTCCAAAGTTAGATCAATCGATTATCCTGAATAACTAAAATCAAGCTCATGAAATTTAGAGGTGGAGACCTGATTATTAACCTCACAATTCATTATTAGTTAGTGAATATGAATAAAGCCTGGGTGTGCCAGTGTAGTAATGTAACTCATATTTTCATATTTTACGTAATTTAATAAGTAATTAGTTGAAATTCACATTGTAATTTTCTCAGACAGATAAAATGATATTCATTTATAAACTTATATATATTTGATTAATTTATTTTTGTGTCACGAAGACATTGTAGTAGTCTAGTAGAGGTCGACGCACGAATTCATCGATTGATGACGACGATTATATTGACCCATTACCCAACATGAATGGTTTTATCTAAAGTTTTAAATTTGTACTTAAATGGTAAAATCGATGACGGGTGTTAAAATTGATAATGAAGAAAAAAAAACATGTGCACAATTCTAATATTTGAAGTATGAGAGAAATATTAGAATAATCCCTTAAATATTAATTCTGTCAATTATATCACGAAGTTGCTAACAAAAAATCTGAATCTGATATATGCCACATGCACCTCACAAAAAATATCGCTTGCCACTCAATTTAAACGATGTATACTGATTGGACTAAATTGATATAATAAGTATCTTTCCCTCTCCCTCTCCCTCCCCCCCCCACCCGTCCTTTAACAGTGCGACAACCACAGTCACCACCAATGCCACCATAGCCACCACCGAACAACACCCCACACCCCTACAACACTATCGAAAGCCTCCCTCAGCCGCCAACGACCACCAAAAAAAGCGGGTATGGCCTGCTATGGACCAAAAAATAGCCACAATCTTTCTCTGCTCCTCTCTCTCCCTCTGTCCATCGCCTTCCATCAACCAAACCAAACCCAATCCAATCACTACTTTGGAAAACTTTTTTGACTAAAATCATGGAAGCAAGTACACATCTACAACTTTTTTTGATTGATTATTTCTATAGTCTATATAGTTAAACTCATGAATTTGGTGATTTCTCGGGTCCCAAGTTAAAACAATGAAAAAAGAAATATTGGACTGGTTTTAAATTTGTATACGAAGATGTTCTTTATAGCTATTTTTTAACCTTTTTCTCCCCAAGAGGTGGTGACTGAGTAGTTATTTTATTGAGATTAGAAAGAGAAACTCAGAAAATGTCTGCTAAAAATGAATCCTTTAGCACGAGATAAAATGGGTTTTCTTAATTTTTCAATGTTGTTGCAGGTGTAGACTGAGTGATAACCGAATGAAAAAATTACTCAATCTAGAAATTATATCAGTAATTTTCAACACTTTTATTGTGCCCGACATAGTATAGAAAATAAAGTAATTTGACTGTATATCAATTTCTAGAGAGTAATCTGACTATATAACTCATTCACTTGAGTAATTTGATAAAAGGAGATTGTTTTATTTTTAAAAAAAAAAAATATATATTGATTGGCGATAGTCAAAATTTTGTGTTATGGATCGGTTTCATGTATGTATAAATAGTTATAATTTTATTTTTGAGTTATATACTGTCTTTAGGTATGAATTTTAGTAGGCCCTATGTATTAATAATTCTGTCGGAATAAATGAATTGTAACAGCAATGAGTTTTAGTGGACCCCTCCATGTATTAACAGCTCTGCCCTAATAAATGATTGGCAATCGCAATGAATTTTTGTGGGCCCCCCCATGTATTAATAGCTCTGTCTTTCACGGATAGAATACAAGGCTATAAAATAAAATTTTAAAAGAATAAGATACGAATATAATCAGAATACACCTATAATAAAATATATTTTTTAATTTATTATTATTTAAAGGCTTAGTATTTATAATTTTTAATAATTTTTTAACATTAATAAACAAAATTATGAATTTTTACCATAAAAAAATGTAATATTATCTTATTATGAAATATTTCTAAAATAAGTGTAATTAATTAAAGGAATTATAATCACATTTTGTTTACAAGTATTTGTCTTTTAAATTATATCGTAAGTGACTCATTTTTTTTATACTCTTTTGATATGTAATAATAGATAATACTTTAAAAATACTCATGTGTTTAATATCATATGGAATTTTATTGATGTTTTGTATTATATGTGAACTCTAAAGAAAGGGTATAGATTAAAATTAAAAATTATACATCTTGTTCTATATTTAGAGGTATCCGCGAAATATCTATAGATTTTATTAATTTTTAGATACAGATAATATGTATTTNAATATCGCTTGTCACTCAATTTAAACGATTTATACTGATTGGACTAAATTGATATAATAAGTATCTCTCCCTCTCCCTCTCCCCCTCCCCCACCCGTCCTTCNATATGTATTTGATATGTTTGATTCTTCCTACCTTTTTTTTTTTTTAATTTTTGTTTATTAACACTCAATTAAAACATACAGATGATGTGTATTTGATTTGATTGATGTTGCAAGTATGAAAAATTTGGAGGATTCGGTAAAAATTGGCGAGAATTTGTTGAAAAAGTCTGTTTCGCGANCCCTACAACACTATCGAAAGCCTCCCTCAGCCGCCAACGACCACCAAAAAAAGCGGGTGTGGCCTGCTATGGACCAAAAAATAGCCACAATCTCTCTCTGCCTTCATCTCTCTGCTCCTCTCTTNATACTAGTGTGTACGAGACCTCTAATCAGGTTTCCTTGACCAATGAGCATGCTCTAATCAAGTACAACACTACTCTCATACCCTTTTCTTAGTTTTTTTTTTAAATTTTAGAATAGTATTATATTTATTTCAACTAAATTATATTTGATTGAACTTTGTAGATTGACAGATATACTCTCCGAGGAGAAGCATATCCGAGAGTGTAGATCATCAATCGGACATTCTCCAAAGTTAGATCAATCTTGAATAATTCAAATCAAGCTCATGAAATTTAGAGCTGNTTATAGCTATTTTTTAACCTTTTTCTCCCCAAGAGGTGGTGACTGAGTAGTTATTTTGTTGAGATTACTTGGTCACAGGCCTCATTTGAACGGTGTTTTTATTTCGATTAAATTAGAGAGTGAAACTTAGAAAATGTCTGCTAAAAATGAATCCTTTAGCATGAGGTAAAATGGGTTTTCTTAATTTTTCAATGTTGTTGCAGGCGTAGACTGAGTGATAACCAAATGAAAAAATTACTCAATCTAGAAATTATATCAGTAATTTTCAACACTTTTATTGTGCCCGACATAGTATAGAAAATAAAGTAATTTGACTATATATCAATTTGTAGAGAGTAATCTGACTATATAACTCATTCACTTGAGTAATTTGATAAAAGGAGATTGTTTTATTTGTTTTTTTTAAAAACATATATTGATTGGCGATAGTCAAAATTTTGTGTTATGGATCGGTTTCATGTATGTATAAATAGTTATAATTTTATTTTCGAGTTATATACTGTCTTTAGATATGGATAATTGTTAATATATATTAATTTTTTTTAATGACAAACAACCGCAATGTATTTTAGTGGGCCCCCTATGTATTAATAACTCTGTCGGAATAAATGATTTGTAACCGCAATGAGTTTTAGTGGACCCCTCCATGTATTAACAGCTCTGCCCTAATAAATGATTGGCAATCGCAATGAATTTTAGTGGGCCCCCCCCATGTATTAATAGCTCTGTCTTTCACGGATAGAATACAAGGCTATAAAATAAAATTTTAAAAGAATAAGATACGAATATAATCGGAATACATCTATAATAAAATATATTTTTTAATTTATTATTATTTAAAGGCTTAGTATTTATAATTTTTAATAATTTTTTAACATTAATAAACAAAATTATGAATTTTTACCATAAAAAAATGTAATATTATCTTATTATGAAATATTTCTAAAATAAGAGTGATTAATTAAAGGAATTATAATCACATTTTGTTTACAAGTATTTGTCTTTTAAATTATATCGTAAGTGACTCATTTTTTTTATACTCTCTTGATATGTAATAATAGATAATACTTTAAAAATACTCATGTGTTTAATATCATATGGAATTTTATTGATGTTTTGTATTATATGTGAACTCTAAAGAAAGGGTATAGATTAAAATTAAAAATTATACATCTTGTTCTATATTTAGAGGTATCCGCGAAATATCTATAGATTTTATTAATTTTTAGATATAGATAATGTGTATTCGATATGTTTGATTCTTCCTACCTTTTTTTTTTTTTTTTTAATTTTTGTTTATTAACACTCAATTAAAACATACAGATGATGTGTATTTGATTTGATTGATGTTGGAGGATTCGGTAAAAATTGACGAGAATTTGTTGAAAAAGTCTGTTTCGCGGGTGAATTTAGATACTAGTGTGTACGAGACCTCTAATCAGGTTTCCTTGACCAATGAGCATGCTCTAATCAAGTACAACACTACTCTCACACCCTTTTCTTAGTTTTTTTTTTTAAATTTTAGAATAGTATTATATTTATTTCAACTAAATTATATTTGATTGAACTTTGTAGATTGGCAGATATACTCTCCGAGGAGAAGGATATCCGAGAGTGTAGATCATCAATCGGACATTCTCCAAAGTTAGATCAATCCTGAATAATTCAAATCAAGCTCATGAGATTTAGAGCTAGAGAGACCTGATTATTAGCCTCGCAATTCATTATTAGTTAATTAATATGAATAAATCCTGAGTTTGCCAATGTAGTAATGTAACTAATTTTCATATTGTATGTAATTTAATAGGTGGTTAATTGATATTCACATTATAATTTTCTTGTATAAGTAAAATTTGGAGCACGAATTCATCGACCGATGAAAGCGGTTACAGTGACCCATTACCCAACATGAATGGTTGTATCTAAAATTTCAAATTTGTACTTAAATAGTAAAATTGATGACGGCGTACTGAAAAAAAAAATATACGCACTTTTAATATTTGAAGTATGAAAGAAATATTACAATGATCCCTTAAATATCAATTCTGTTGATTATATTCACAAAGTTGCTAACAAAAAATCTTATGTATGCTACATGCACCTCACAAAAAAATATCACGTGCCACTCAATTTAAATGATGTGTTTTGTTTGGACTAAATAAACATAATTAGTAGTTGAAGGATCAAAGTAACATTTATCAGATACTTTAAAGACCAAAACTATAGTTAGTCAAAGTAATGTTTCGTGACATTCCTTGTTACAATGGGAGGACTCTTTATTAAACGATAAGAGAAATCCACATAGGAAACATACATTATAGATGCTAGATATGAAAGAGGAGTCAATGCCTTCTTTCTTTACTTTTTTTGCCATTTTTTATTTGTGAATTGTTAATGAACTTACCTCATTCGTCGATATTATGTGATATAATATTTCTCTCATATATATGAGTTTTATTATAAGATGTCGAACCTATGAATCTATTCATTATGGATATAAAAAAAAAAAAAAAGCATATACAATAAGAATAAAAAATGTATTTAGTCCATATTGTTATCATTTTATTTAGGAAAACAATACATCAAATTAATTGCAATCCTTTCATAGGAAAAAGATAAACAATAAGAAGAAGAAGAAGAAAAGCACCAATGCAACTAGTGCAATTATTCAACAGCTGTTGTGTAATCTTGATAATATATAGGCATGCAGCAACTACTGCTTCTACTTTAAGCCCTTGTAAGAGCTTGGTAGTTTTTGCTGTCTAAGTTTTCTTTCATCTGAAAGTAATTTTGCAAACCTGTAACAGGCAGGAACATAAAAATTAGTAGTGTAATAACAAATTTTGAGAATGGCAATGGTATCGAATTCTGTATCATACGTAAAGTTATGACTGATAAATGGAGATTAGTTAAAATTTAGTTGAGGTCAAGTTATGACTCAAAAAATGTAGATTAATTCAAAAATGTTAGGATTGAACCCCAATGAACTTATTTTTCCTAAATTCACCCAATTTAGTCGTAACTTTCATTTTACGATTTTGAACTAAATACCATAGTCTTTCCCACAATATTTGGTAGCCGAACCAAAGTAGAATGATAAAGATTATTTCGATTGTTCCCATACCTTTTGAGAGCATCCTCATTTGTGCCACCATTTTTAACTAGCTCAGCAAGACCTGTCTTCAAATTCACTCGTGAAACTGGTTTCTTTAACAACCTTTCTCCAATCTCCACTAGTTTGTCCAAGTTTTCCTTAGTAGCAACATCAACGGTGGAGTTTGTCCTAGTTAACCTGTCCTCCTAGCATTGCATGTGACAGATAGTGAATTACGGGTGTTAATTAAACCGAAATTTTTTTAAGTTACATTTAACTCGGTTATGACTAATTAAACTCGAACTCCAACCAAATTTAGAATCTTGCTCAACCTCGATTTGGTTGGGGCTTATGAGTGTTTGCATCCCACCCGAGCCACGATCAAACTTATTCTCTCAGTTAAAATATTCAAATATTAAATCTTTAGTTTAAATAATCAATCACAAAACAGACAATTTCTAAACAAAAATACTTCAAAAATTTCTAAGCAAAATAACTTCACTTTTGTCTAAATGAAATGGCCTTTTCTTTTCGTTTATTACTTATTTATTTATCATGAATGATAGAATCATTAAACATTGCGGGTATTCATCTTTTGGATAAGAGTTGTTTAATAGTAAAATTAGAAATATTTATAGACAGTAATCTATTAATGCCGACTTGATTTTATTACAAATACGAGATTAAAAATGACACTAAGTTTTGACTATTTAAAAATTTGAACGAGTCAAACTTATATCAAACTGGAGCTACTCGAATCCAGAGTAACTTGAAAACCATGTGAAATACGTGGAGCGTGAGAGTAAATTTTAACTTACTTGTATTCGAAGGTAATTTTTTTCAGAGTGAAGAGCTTGAAAAACCACAGAAATATGGAAATCAACCATATCAGCACTTGCTTGAGTGAAAACATCCACTAGTGGGGTGGAACCTTTGTGAACTAACCAACTCAAAACACCCCATTTGGCTGCCATTTTCGCACTGTATTTCTGTTCCACCTTTGCAGAGCCGGTGCCTATTGAGATCACCAGGAAGCGTCCGTAGTCTATAGGCTTAATAGGGAAGAAATCTGAATTTCCACTGAAAACCTCTTTGGTTATCTGGGATATGGCAACTAAAGCCTGCAACCATCGTGCCACGAAAAATTTGATATTCATATATTTATTCCAAATCTCTCGAGATGTAAGTGGTATAGTTTCTTAGTATTTGTGGCTGTGAGAGTAGCTTCCTATGTCTTAATCTTTGGTAGTCTTTTTGTAAGTAGCTTTTTCCAGACAAAAAATTTCGATTATTATTTCATAAAAGTGATCTATATGCATCATGATATATGACTAATACACCTCTATACATGCATAAGCGCAACTTTAAGCTAGGAGAAAAGGAGCAAGTGTGAAAAACAAAAACTGCAAAAAAAAAAAAAAAGGCCTTAATAAGAAAAAAATATTCAAAAATTTTATCAATATATATAAGGTAAGTAATTGGCTTACATAAGTCCTTCTCGTGAGTATACCTTCTAAGCCTTCAGACACACCTTGAATTATGTTGTGCATCTCTNGGTTGCTGATGTGGGCAAATTCTCACCGTTCAAAGAGAAATGAAAATCTACAAATATTTTCTAATTAAAGAACGTCTATCTTTCGATCGCATAGCATGTTTTACACATTTGTGCGAAGAATAAAAAATAGTTAAATTTGACANTTACATAAGTCCTTCTCGTGAGTATACCTTCTAAGCCTTCAGACACACCTTGAATTATGTTGTGCATCTCTGGTTTTGTTTTTCCAAGATAATATTTTTATTTAGCAAAGAAATATACGGTGTGTGGTTGTGAGTTCAATGGTGCTATATAACAATTAATCAGTAACATACTGAGAAAAGCTTATAAGGNTAAGCCTTCAGACACACCTTGAATTATGTTGTGCATCTCTGGTTTTGTTTTTCCAAGATAATATTTTTATTTAGCAAAGAAATATACGGTGTGTGATTGTGAGTTCAATGGTGCTATATAACAATTAATCAGTAACATACTGAGAAAAGCTTATAAGTATATAGTTATAGAAATTATACCGGATTATTTGCTGCAACACCACCATCAATAAGATTGAATTCCCAAACGTTCCCTTCATTATCGTTGTTATTAAAATGGTAGGCAGGAAGATAAGTTGGAGCTGCAGATGTGCTAATGCATATGTCTGATAGTCTTGCATTCAGAAAGGGGTACTGTTTCGCCTGCATTGATATACAATATTATTTTAGACACTATATTTCTCCAACTTTGTCAACTCCTCAAATAAAAAATAGTAGTATCTTACAAGTTATAACCAACTTGGTACTGAATGTGTGTGTGTGGTGTGAGAGAGAGAGAGAGAGGAGAGAGTGAAACCTCATAAGTGGAGAAAACAGTTGGCTGCAAAGTCTTGATATCGAAAGTAGGAATGACAACATTGGTTAAGGTTTGATGCAATCGAGTCTCTCCTAGTTTCTCCCTTACAACTTGATGAAGATACTTCCCATCATACTTGGGTCCTACTAATAAGTTCAATCTGTTTCTATGTGATGCAAACATGCCCCTGCCATGGCAGCAATTCAAGCTACCATTACAACTTTCGCCTTTTTCATTTTTGAAAAAATGAAGCAAGAAGAACATAAGAGTAGGATCCATGTGGCGTTTGGACGCATTTGAGGTATATTGCATGTCTATTTTTTATCAATGAATTACATTTACTCAACCAAAAGAAAAAAAAAGAAGGCAAAAAAACATATCATGATTACCTTTTCTGTGGAAAAATTTTTGGACAATTTTCGACATAAAAGGGCTTGATATCTTTAGCAGCAAATATAGGACGATTATTTTCATCTGGAGCTGTTAACATGGCAGTCACAAGGCCACCAGTACTGGTTCCTGCAATCACGTCAAAGTAATCTGCAAGTCTTGCATCCTCACCATCCAACTCCTGATCCAAAATAACATTATTTGAAATTAATTAGTTAATCTTTCTGCATTTCGTTTTTTTTTATATGATGTAACTCTGTGGACCTTCATAATTTGAAGATGCACCCAATGTCCAAAACCCACACTCATAGAATACCCTATGCACACTTCACCAAGAAATGTGCGATCAGGTGATCACATATGATATTTGTGCAATTTTTACATGAAATCATGAATGAAGATCTCTCTCCCTCACACACACACAGACATATGCACGTGCACACTACTATGTCAGTAGAAAATAAAACTAACCTGAAGTTGGGACTCAAGGTAAGCAAGGATAGTGCCAGGGATGATCCCTCTGATACCACCTCCATCAATGCTGAGAATGGTGATGAGGTTTCCGTAAGTTGGGGGCTGAGATGAGAGTCTCTCCATTTGAAACTGATTGTAATAATGGACTATTGTTAGCCTATGAGATTAGAGAGCTCAAGCTTTCGTGGTTTGGTTTTCCAGCAAAGTTAATCTATTTATAGCCCTCAACATGCATGGAAGAAACTTCCTTGCACTCTCTTTCATCGGCTATGTAGAGCAATTCGTGATTATATTGTTAAGAGCAATGTTATTGATAAATGTTGAAAACTGAAAAATATAATAAACATAACCTAGCTAGGTTGGCGTTTACATTATCCATTCCAAATAACACCTTAAACTCTATTGATATTTTTCCTTGTCAATTGAAGAAGATAACAACTAACTGTCGTGGGATGACTTTGTTTCAAATGTTTATGATAGTTGGCAGGCCCTCATTAGTTTGAATTATACAACTATTCAGGCAAGAGTTCTAGTAAAGAGAGATTCATTCATGAAACGTTAAAATCACAACTAAATTTACAGTATTTCTCATGTGATGGGATAACTTTGTTTCAAATGCTTGTGATTGTTGGCAGCTAGGCCGTCATTAATTTGAATTATACAACTATTCATGCCAGGGTTCTAAGAAAGGGACCTATATCTTAAGAAGGAAACTAAATTTACGTTTCTCATGTGGTGGGTAGCTAGGCCCTCATTAATTTGAATTATATAACTATTCAGACAAGAGTTCTAAGAAAGAGAGCTATATCCTAAGAGGAAAATTATGTTTATCTTTTTTGCAGTCGTGGAATAACTTTGTTTCAAGTGTATATGATAGCGATTGGTAGATCATCATTAATTTGAATTATAAAACTATTCAGCCAAGGGTTATAGTGAAGAGACTCATTCATTACACGTTAAAATCACAAATTAATGAAGCTATATCCTAAGAGGGAAACTATATATATTTACATTGTTGCCGTTCTTTAACGTGACATGGTATCATAGTTGTTGGAGATATTTCCTCTTCAAAATTACTATTTTCCCCCCTTTTCCGATTTCTAAAATTTCAAAATTTATCCCCACATTATCAACCTATCTATGATGACATATAGCCAAGTTTGTATTGTATCAAGTTTGTGTTGTGCATTTGTTTATACATACCCATGTTTTGTTTAGCTGGACTAATATTTATTGACGGGTTTAGCAAGGTCACCAATATATTACGTAAACCTCTCTATTCCAACACCAAACCATCAAAGAGGTAGGTAGCTTGGTGAAATCACTTACATCTTCCAAAATTAAACTGCAGGAAGTGTGTTCTTATCCCTTCTAAATATTTGTTAGTTGACAAACCACGGTATCTATGAATTGCTTACGCAGTCAGAGGCTTTCTATAATAAATGTCATGGTATGTGAAGGTTACCGTTGAGCTCCGCAGGCGGCTTATGGGTTTTAAAAGAGTTAAAAAATAATGATAATAACTTCCATGTGTGGCTAAACAAGTCAAAATGAAATTTACTTGGTTTGTGAGAGATTCAACGCAAATTGTTTAATCATTAATGTTACTTATGTTTATCTAGTTTATCCATAATTATTTATGTTTAAGATGTTAGTTAAATATGATTTCACCAAATTAGAAGGCTTTAATCGTGTATTCACTGTCTTTAAGGAAATTATTCCCCCACTATGTTGCTGCTAGGTTTATGGCAGATTCCTTTAGAATTAACAAAGTCAAACAGAATTTCAGATAGCAATATCTGAAATTCTACCAAGAACAGAATGAAGAAACGTTTGTTTTGTGTATATCTAAATTGAAAAATCTATACAGGTATCTATAATATCTTAATGAAGAGATACAACTCTTAGGCCAAAGAGATGTAAAAAGGAGACACAATTTTTCGGCCAAAGGAGATGTATAGAGGAGACACAACTTTTGGGCCAAAAAACATTTAGCAATTAATTAATACAAAATTATTTAAAGTCTAATCAAGATCCATTGATTTGAAATATTTGGAGCTTCTCTGTAAATCTTTCCACCATCCAAATTTATAAAAGTTGGTGTGTTTCTGCTTTTAAACCCNTGGTTTTCCAGCAAAGTTAATCTATTTATAGCCCTCAACATGCATGGAAGAAACTTCCTTGCACTCTCTTTCATCGGCTATGTAGAGCAATTCGTGATTATATTGTTAAGAGCAATGTTATTGATAAATGTTGAAAACTGAAAAATATAATAAACATAACCTAGCTAGGTTGGCGTTTACATTNCACAACTGAATCAACAAAGTCATTGTTGATCAGTTTGCTCAAGAATTATGTTAGAATGATTAAGAAATAAGACCGAAAAGAGGGACTAAAATGACGTGGTGTTAACGCAATAATGCTTTTGGTTAAATTTTCACTCATTCAAATGAAAGTGGGATAAGTTTAGACTAACCAAACAACTAGACTAAATGATATGACATTAATTAATTAAAAAAAATCTGCTTAATTTTTAAAAATAATTATTAATTTATTATTATATTAATTTTATTTAAACAGATAAACGAGTTGATATGACTCACCCGAACATGACCCATTTATTAAACGTGTTAGACTGGTTAACTCGTTTATCATCTAAACCCGTTAAAATTTCATCTAAATTCACTTAATTCATATAATTGTGTCGTGTCGAACTTTGACCGTCCTAGTTAGAATGATTAAAAATAGAACTGAATNTGCTCAACCTCGATTTGGTTGGGGCTTATGAGTGTTTGCATCCCACCCGAGCCACGATCAAACTTATTCTCTCAGTTAAAATATTCAAATATTAAATCTTTAGTTTAAATAATCAATCACAAAACAGACAATTTCTAAACAAAAATACTTCAAAAATTTCTAAGCAAAATAACTTCACTTTTGTTTAAATGAAATGGCCTTTTCTTTTCGTTTATTACTTATTTATTTATCATGAATGATAGAATCATTAAACATTGCGGGTATTCATCTTTTGGATAAGAGTTGTTTAATAGTAAAATTAGAAATATTTATAGACAGTAATCTATTAAAGCCGACTTGATTNCCTCATTAATTTGAATTATATAACTATTCAGACAAGAGTTCTAAGAAAGAGAGCTATATCCTAAGAGGAAAATTATGTTTATCTTTTTTGCAGTCGTGGAATAACTTTGTTTCAAGTGTATATGATAGCGATTGGTAGATCATCATTAATTTGAATTATAAAACTATTCAGCCAAGGGTTATAGTGAAGAGACTCATTCATTACACGTTAAAATCACAAATTAATGAAGCTATATCCTAAGAGGGAAACTATATATATTTACATTGTTGCCGTTCTTTAACGTGACATGGTATCATAGTTGTTGGAGATATTTCCTCTTCAAAATTACTATTTTCCCCCCTTTTCCGATTTCTAAAATTTCAAAATTTATCCCCACATTATCAACCTATCTATGATGACATATAGCCAAGTTTGTATTGTATCAAGTTTGTGTTGTGCATTTGTTTATACATACCCATGTTTTGTTTAGCTGGACTAATATTTATTGACGGATTTAGCAAGGTCACCAATATATTACGTAAACCTCTCTATTCCAACACCAAACCATCAAAGAGGTAGGTAGCTTGGTGAAATCACTTACATCTTCCAAAATTAAACTGCAGGAAGTGTGTTCTTATCCCTTCTAAATATTTGTTAGTTGACAAACCACGGTATCTATGAATTGCTTACGCAGTCAGAGGCTTTCTATAATAAATGTCATGGTATGTGAAGGTTACCGTTGAGCTCCGCAGGCGGCTTATGGGTTTTAAAAGAGTTAAAAAATAATGATAATAACTTCCATGTGTGGCTAAACAAGTCAAAATGAAATTTACTTGGTTTGTGAGAGATTCAACGCAAATTGTTTAATCATTAATGTTACTTATGTTTATCTAGTTTATCCATAATTATTTATGTTTAAGATGTTAGTTAAATATGATTTCACCAAATTAGAAGGCTTTAATCGTGTATTCACTGTCTTTAAGGAAATTATTCCCCCACTATGTTGCTGCTAGGTTTATGGCAGATTCCTTTAGAATTAACAAAGTCAAACAGAATTTCAGATAGCAATCTCTGAAATTCTCCCAAGAACAGAATGAAGAAACGTTTGTTTTGTGCATATCTAAATTGAAAAATCTATACAGGTATCTATAATACCTTAATGAGGAGACACAACTCTTAGGCCAAAGAGATGTAAAAAGGAGACACAATTTTTGGGCCAAAGGAGATGTATAGAGGAGACACAACTTTTGGGCCAAAAAACATTTAGCAATTAATTAATACATAATTATTTAATTATTTAAAGGTTTCAAGCCCAAGTGCCCATCTTTTAAATTTAAAGATTATTTTATTTAAAGTCTAATCAAGGTCTATTGATTTGAAATATTTGAAGCTTCTCTCTAAATCTTTTCACCATCCAAATTTATAAAAATTGGTGTGTTTCTGCTTTTAAACCCTTACATTTCCTTTCAACGTGGAATTTTTTATATTACTAACTATCTTNTAAACCCTTACATTTCCTTTCAACTTTTTCAACGTGGAATTCTTTATATTACTAACTATCTCTAACATATGATGCATTCTGCGTGTAAAACGTGTAACTAAGCAACGTGCACAACTGAATCAACAAAGTCATTGTTGATCAGTTTGCTCAAGAATTATGTTAGAATGATTAAGAAATAAGACCGAAAAGAGGGACTAAAATGACGTGGTGTTAACGCAATAATGCTTTTGGTTAAATTTTCACTCATTCAAATGAAAGTGGGATAAGTTTAGACTAACCAAACAACTAGACTAAATGATATGACATTAATTAGTTAACTAGTAAAGGATAATGCTGAAATTAGGGGTGTCAAACGTGTTAAGTTAAATAGTTACGTGTTGGGTTAAACGGGTGACAGGTGAAAAATATGTAAACTCATACACGATTCGTTTCATAAAAGGGTGAAAAACCTCAACACGAACACGAATCATTTAATAAATGANCAAATATTGTATACCAAATGATGTGACGAAACCTCTACAATATTGAATGTGTAGTGGGAGTAAGTGAGACCGACTACTCCAATCACTCATACTGGTTTGGTATACAAAATTTAAGTAAACAATTTGATAAGTATATCAATGCTCGTTAAAACGTGGTGCTTTAAACAAGTCGAGGAGAAGTCATGCTCCTTAGACCACAACATATTTCCATCCATAAATGGANCAATGCTCATTAAAACGTGGTGCTTTTAACAAGTCGAGGAGAAGTCATGCTCCTTAGACCACAACATATTTCCATCCATAAATGGATGCACGAGTGAAAGGAGATTCTGAATACATACACACATTCATTTTCACCTTGATATTTGATTTTTGATTTGTGGTCGCTAATTTTAAGGGTGTCATCTACATTTTGTGGATTCATTTAGGGAGAAAAAGANTCACCCGAACATGACCCATTTATTAAACGTGTTAGACTGGTTAACTCGTTTATCATCCAAACCCGTTAAAATTTCATCTAAATTCACTTAATTCATATAATTGTGTCATGTCGAACTTTGACCGTCCTAGCTAGAATGATTAAAAATAGAACTGAAANCAAACTGTAGGTCCCAGTGTTAAAGATAAATATGTAATTGTAAGTGGAATAATATCTTATACATAATTTAATTCTTACCGGATTATTTGCAGCAACACCCCCATCAATAAGATTATATTCTCGAACATTCCCTTTGTTATCTTGGGTCTTGAAGTAATGGGCTGGAAGGTAGGTTGGAGCTGCAGAAGTACTTATGCAAATATCGGATAATTGAGCATCCAAACATGAAGAGCCTTTTACCTGCATGGATCAGACATAATTCTTTAACCCCTATTACTTTACCATGTATTATAGTTTGCCCTACTTAAATATGCAAAAATAAGTTTAACACTAATTTCTGAAATTATAACTGATGCCCTAAGGTTAGAGAATACAATCTCCAACTAAGGGTTATTAAGGGGCCCCTGCTGCCAGCCAATCCCCGATGCCCACCCATTGATTGGTCCTATTGACATTGTTGTGGTCGAAAAAAATGAATAATGTTAGATAAACTTAAAAGTTAGACTTGATAATATTAATTATTGAATAGGTAATGAATTCTAATAAATGTTGGAACATACAGTAAAATCAACGGTCGTAATTATAAAGTATAATTTTTAAATCTACTTTTTAAATCCATGTAATATTGCTCGGAAAAAATATTAGAGTAAATATTGGGTGTAATGGTGACAACACGTCATTATTGACATCTAATGTCAAAATCCAGTAATAAACCCATAAATAAGTAGGTGGATCTCATCTAATTTAGTAATCATTTAATAATCAATCAAGTGAGATATATTTTATTTATTTGTATATTTATTATTAAAAGCAATATTATTAGGACATAATGGGTTATCACTGATTGATGTCCCAATAACTGTAGTGTTNATATTAAATTCAGATTCTTTTTTTTTTTTTTTGCAGTTTATTACTAATATTAGATTTGTCACGTCGAATCCATGTGCAATTCTTACATAGACATATAGGGATGGAACGAGTTAGTACTAGCATCCATAATTTGAGGTCGTGACTTGATTGAACGAGTTAGTATATACATTCTAAATGAAGTTATCAAATATTGTATACCAAATGATGTGACGAAACCTCTACAATATTAAATGTGTAGTGGGAGTAAGTGAGACCGAATACTCCAATCACTCATACTGGTTTGGTATACAAAATTTAAGTAAACAATTTGATAAGTATAGCAATGCTCGTGAAAACGTGGTGCTTTTAACAAGTCGAGGAGAAGTCATGCTCCTTAGACCAATAACATATTTCCATCCATAAATGGATGCACGAGTGAAAGGAGATTCTGAATACATACACACATTCATTTTCACTCTTGATATTTGATTTTGATTTGTGGTCGCTAATTGTAAGGGTGTCATCTACATTTTGTGGATTCATTAAGGGAGAAAAAGGCATCTTCTACAATTTGTCAAACTGTAGGTCCCAGTGTTAAAGATAAATATGTAATTGTAAGTGGAATGCTATCTTATACATAATTTAATTCTTACCGGATTATTTGCAGCAACACCCCCATCAATAAGATTATATTCTCGAACATTCCCTTTGTTATCTTGGGTCTTGAAGTAATGGGCTGGAAGGTAGGTTGGAGCTGCAGAAGTACTTATGCAAATATCGGATAATTGAGCATCCAAACATGAAGAGCCTTTTACCTGCATGGATCAGACATAATTCTTTAACCCCTATTACTTTACCATGTATTATAGATTGCCCTACTTAAATATGCAAAAATAAGTTTAACACTAATTTCTGAAATTATAACTGATGCCCTAAGGTTAGAGAATACAATCTCCAACTAAGGGTTATTAAGGGGCCCCGGCTGCCAGCCAATCCCCGATGCCCACCCATTGATTGGTCCTACTGACATTGTTGTGGTCGAAAAAAATGAGTAATGTTAGATAAACTTAAAAGTTATACTTGATAATCTCAATTATTGAATAGGTAATGAATTCCAATAAATGTTGGAACATACAGTAAAATTAACGGTCGTAATTATAAAGTATAATTTTTAAATCTACTTTTTAAATCCATGTAATATTGCTCGGAAAAAATATTAAAGTAAATATTGGGTGTAATGGTGACAACACGTCATTATTGACATCTAATGTCAAAATCCAGTAATAAACCCATTTAATAATCAATCAAGTGAGATATATTTTATCTATTTGTATGTTTATTATTAAAAGCAATGTTATTAGGTATTATTAAATACCCAGAATTATTTGTCTATTTGTATGTCACTAACNAAACATCCAAATGTGAAATTGGCGTTAAAATGGTCAACACTTCAATCTCTTTATTGGTCTGCATAACTTTCAACGCCAAGTTTAGAAAAAAGCAAGACTTTTCTTGCTTGCAGGAAACTTGCTTACAAGTGTTACGACAACGAGTTCATTAGGCCGTCATGACATAGTATCTCTGACAATGTCAATGTCAATGAATCGTAGTATTTCTGTCAATGTGATTGGATCATATTAAAATCGGACTAATTCTTAGTTGGATCAAATTTAAAAGTTTCCATCTAAATCTTTGCATTTAAATCTCCAATGCATTTCATTTTTAAAATTCATATCCAAATTCATTAAAATAAAAAAATCTAATTCCGATAACTCAAATAGAATTTTAAAAAATTATATGGAATTATCAGCAACACTGTATTAAACAATTAATTAATTTCATCACAAAATTATAATATATAGAGATCAGAGTTAATTATTCAATTATCTATATTCAAAATTTGAATTTAAAAATATAAATATAAATTCAAATTCGATTTAAGCATGATCTACTTACGTGCCAAAAGTTTTGCTGCATGAACTTGCATGTTGCTCGTCAAAGAGGGCTCCTGGCGGCTTTCATTATTTTTTTTTGGGTACATTTGGAAGGAAAGTGCTGGTGGCTGTTTTTTTTTTTTTTTTTTTAATTTTGGAAAGTGCCGGCGGCTTTCAAGTGTAAGAATCTCTGCCTTGTAATGTTAGGTTACCAAACTCCGCTGTTAATTCTAAACATCATCACACACACACGAAATCGATACAAATTAAATAGGTTTTGATGTAGAAGTGAATTTTTGATGATAAATAATTAGACTCATTATAACTACTTAATAAACAGGTTAACATGAAAACATGGTATCTTCGTTGTATTATAAATCTTATTGAATACCATGAATGGTAGTTGATGACAAGTTAAAATATTAGGTTTGAATATTGCCAAACAAACTCGGTAAATAATCCTACTGTTTTTATGAGTGATGTAATGTTAATTGCACTTAAAAAATTGACTGATTTATTGATTTGATGATATGGTAATTACGCACATGCCATTAATAACCTTCAGCCACATACTATAACTTCAGGACTTTTATTTATTATTGTCATTTGTAAACAAGGAAAAAAATTCAGAGATAAAATGCATTAAAAAGTATATCCAACAGAGGGTTGGCAAGACAAACAATAAATAAAATTACAATCCTTCTTTAAAAAAAAAAGAGAGAAGAACAACACCAATGCAACAATTGCTTGTCCTAGTTTAAGCCTGGTATGAGCATGGTGATTTTAGTTGTCTAAGCTTCCTTTCATCTAAGAGCAATTTCGCAAACCTGCAAGAGACAGGAAGAGACTGATTAATAATACATTAGCAAATTTTGAGAACAACTGGGGCATCCGATATCATTCCAAAAGTTGTGACTCTATAAAGATAAGTTATAATCTAATGAGGGTCTAGTCACCATTTAAAAAAGTTGATATAAATCTTAAAATGTTAAGATCGATCATTGAAATTTTGTTGGATTAAATCAAAACTTGCGGTGTGAATTCAAAAATTAACCCTTCAATACCATCCATCGTCCACTTTCTCTCCATTTTTTGGCATCCAAACCAAATCGAATGACAAAAAAATTGATTGGTTGTCTCCATACCTTTTCAGAGCATCCTTATTTGTGCCACCATTTTTGACTGGTTCAGAAAGACCA